CCTCTGGCCATGCGTCTCTCGGCCAGAGGCTTCACCGACCAGTCTTTGGACCAGGTCCCCTGGTGTTGCGTCGAGGTTTCGTGTCTGGGGTTGCTTGGCTCTTCTCCGCGACACTTCCGCGGACAAGCTCTCGCCTCGCGCCGTTCCCTGTGTCTTCCTTGGTTTCCCTGAGGACTCCGCTGACTTCACCTTTTACCACCCTCCCTCTCACCGGTTCTTTGACTCCCGTGACGTCCGTTTCGAGGAGTCCACCCCCTACTACATCAGGTACCTTAGTCGAGGTCTCCCGTTTCCTCCTCCCCCTCTCTTCCTGACTTCCGCTCCCCCTCCTGCTCCCCCGGTATAGCCTCCCCCCCCTGGTCCCGCCCCGTCAGGTGTGTCCCAGGCTACCCCTCCCCCCTCGGTAGCCCCGCATGTGCAGCCTCCTTCCCCGCAGTCCTCCTCGCAGCCTGCTGCAGACCCTGCGGGAGCCGGTGCTCGTGGAGAGGGCCCTACAGGTGCTAGCTCTGGGGGTGCTGGAGTTGGAGCTGAGCCTGTGGTTGCAGGAGACTCTTGTCTTCCGGGAGCTGGTGTTGGTCCTGCTGACTTTGGGGGTGCTACGTCTGGGGGTGCGGGTGCACCCTCTTCGGGTCCTGGTGAGCCTGGTCGTGTTGCTGTTGGTAGTGCTAACTCTGGGGGTGGTGCGCCAGGTGCTTTGGAGGGCGGTCCCGGGGCTGCCGCAGCCCCCGACACTACTCCTCCCCCCCACCCCTACCCGACCCGGCACCAGGCTCGTGTTCGCCGTGCCCGTGAGGAGCAGCTGGAGTTGGAGAGAGAGGAGAGAGAGTTGCAGCGGCTGGAGGAGCAGCAGCAGCAGCAGCAGGAGCAGCTGCAGCTGGAGCCGCCGCAGCAGCAGGAGGCGCAGCAGCTGGAGCCGCTACAGCAGCAGGAGGAGCAGCAGCAGCCACCGCCTCCTCCTCCTGTCTCCGGTCTTCGGGCCCTCGGTCTCTCCTCCCGCTCTCCTTCCTCCTCCCCCTCTCCGCTCGTCTCGGGTCCTCCGCTTCCTCCTCCTGACCCCTCCCCGGCTGTTTTCCCTCGTTCTCAGCCTCCGTTGTCCCCTCCTTCTCAGACTTGGGCCTCTCGTCGCTCCCCTCGTGCTCGTCCCTCGTCTCCTGTTCTCGTTACTGACCTTCGTACTGCCCTCTTTCGTTCTAGTTCGCCTCGTTCGTCTCCGTCTCTCCTTCCGTCTCCTCCTGAGTCGGCCTTCACTGCTTCTCTCTCTATACCTGTCACTGACTACTGCCGCACGTACCATCCTGTTCTCTCTCGTGTTCTCGCCTCTCTTATTACCGACCCTCGTGCCTCTGTCTCCTCTGTCTCCGCCCTTACTGCTGCAGTCACTGAGTTTGCCTCCACTCGCCGCCTTGACTATGCCACCGGTCTTGTGGCTGCTCCTCCTACCAGTCCTCTGGCCGTCGGGGGTGAGTCTGCCCTTGGCTGTGACGCCCTAGAGGACAGGCAGTTTGAGCTAGAGTTCCTGGCAGCCGCTTCCCCACATCTCTGTGCCATGCTGCTCGCCCCTGAGGGAGACCCCGACGCCCTTGACATACCGACTCCTCGCACTTACGCTGAGGTAGTGTCAGGGCCTTGGGCCTCTCAGTGGAGAGCTGCCATGGACGCAGAGATGGCCTCCTACAGATCCACAGGCACCTACGTCGACGAGGTTCCCCCCCCTAGGGCGAACGTAGTTGATGGCATGTGGATCTACAGGGTGAAGCGGCCACCGGGATCTCCTCCGGTATTCAAGGAGCGCTACGTGGCTAGAGGTTTCAGTCAGCGCGAGGGAGTTGACTTCTTTCAGACCTTCGCGCCTACCCCGAAGATGACCACACTTCGGGTGTTACTGCACGTAGCAGCACAGAGAGACTACGAGTTACACTCCCTCGACTTGTCCACTGCTTTCCTCCAGGGTAGCTTACACGAGGAGGTCTGGCTGTGTCGTCCCTCTGCCTTCACTGACACTTTCCCTCCTAGGACCCAGTGGAGGCTGAGGCGACCTGTCTACGGTCTTCGTCAGGCTCCTCGTGAGTGGCACGGCACTCTTCGTTCTACCCTCTCTGACCTTGGGTTCCAACCGTCTTCTGCCGACCCGTCGCTATTCGTTCGTCGTGGCTCCACACCGTTCTTTGTTCTGGTCTACGTCGACGACCTGGTTTTCGCCACTGCTGACAGGGTTGCCTTGGCAGACGTGAAGTCCGAACTGCAGAAGAGACACACGTGCACTGACCTTGGTGACCTGCGCCATTACCTTGGCCTGCAGATCACCAAGGACAGAGCTTCTCGCACCATTACACTCTCACAGTCACACATGGTGCAGCAGGTCCTTCAGGGGTTCGAGCTTCAGCACTCCACAGTACAGCACACACCTCTTGCTGTTGACCACAGACTTACTGGACCCTTTCCTGACAAGCCGTTTGAGTCTAGTGGTCCCTACGCAGAGCTGGTGGGCTGCCTCATGTACCTGATGACTTGCACTCGCCCGGACCTCGCCTTCCCTCTCAGCATCCTTGCTCGCTTTGTTGCGCCAGGGAGACACCGTCCTGTTCACTGGATGGCAGCTGTGAGGGTGGCGAAGTACCTAGCGACGACATCAGGCGTGGGGCTAGTTCTTGGAGGGCAGCAGCCTGTCGTACTTACTGGTCACTGTGACTCTTCTTACGCTGACGACGCCGAGACTCATAGGTCTACTCAGGGGTACTGTTTCAGCTTGGGTTCTGGAGCTGTTTCGTGGCGGTCCACGCGCTCCTCTTCGGTCTCGACCTCTACAGCTGAGGCTGAGATCTACGCTGGTGCCATGGCGGCACAGGAGCTGCGTTGGTTGACCTTCTTGCCCGCCGACCTTGGTGAGCGGCCGATCTCTGCACCGACCTTGTTCACTGACAACAAGGCGTCGATTCTCCTTTGTCGAGAGCTGCGACTGGAGAGCAGAGTGAAGCACATTAACGTCAGATACTTTCTTCTACGAGAGTTGCAGAGACGTGGACAGGCTCGCTTCGAGTTTGTGGAGTCCGAGGCCAACACTGCAGACATCTTCACCAAGGCGCTTCCGCCTTGTGACCACCAGAGGTGTTGTGTGCAGTTAGGCCTTGTTGACACAGTTTCTAGTCGTGTATAGGCTTGAGTCTACTGTTTGCTTTGCTTGTACTCTTGCTATACACACTTGTAAACTCTCGAACTGGCCTTGTGGCCCCTGTTGCTTGTGCTCAGAGTGTGTGGTGACGTTGTGATCCACCCTGAGCTTTGTTTCTTTGTGACTGGTCTTGTGACCGTACACTTTTGGTTTTGCTTGACACCCCTCACTTAGGCTATGGGGGTGTGTCAAATGTTGTAGCCTGTAGTGAGGTTTGTCGTAGGGGGTACAGATGTTAGGGTTTGTTATATGTACCCCAACCCACATCAATGAACCAACACTTTCATTCTTGACATCTAGCACCTGTTCAAAACCTAATTTTCAGGGTTACCCGTTGTGGAAAACCTGATGCGTCAGGGTTTTTGCATGTATTAAAACGACTACCCTGAGTCATCAGTGTACCAATTCGCAAAACCTTGTTTCAATTGTTATTAACACAACACACAATAACAAGCTTAAAACCAGGGTGCACATTCAACGCGGTTCGGCTTGAGATGTTGGGAAGGGGGTTTGGAGAAAAACAGTGATTGGCTCACGAGGGGCGACAAAAAAATGATTCCGCTAGAGCTTCGGGCATTTCGTAGGTGGCGGGAGGGGGTGAAATGGCGGGAGTGGGTGAAACCGAATGGCGGGAGGGATGAAACAGATTGGCGGGAGGGGGGGGAAACGAAATTGCAGGGGAGGGGGGAAACAAAATTGCGGGGGAGGGGGGAAACGAATTTCGACGGGGAGGGGGAAATGAAATTGCGGGGGCGTGGGGAAACGAAATTGCGGGGGAGGGGGGAAACGAATTTCGACTTGAAGGGGTTGAAAGCACACCTCGTAACCCACTCAGTCAAGGGATAACCTTTGATGCACATTCAGCTGAATGTGCACCCCGGTTTTAATCATCATCTTCAGACATGCCACACGGTTGTTGCTCGTGGTCACTGTCCTCCTCTGGCTCCGGCACTTTCTCCTTGCCTTTTCGTTTCGCTGGGGTTGGCAGGGCCACTGTTTTCGGGGTCGGGTGGTTACAGGACGGGGGGGAGGAGGGGGGGGGGGGGGGGGGGGTGTGGGGGTTCGCTGGTACGCGCTTCAGGGTAAATCTCGATAAGCGGAACGGCAACCCTGAGGCGACAGTGTTCCTTAATCTTAAAACCTGGCACATCAGGGTAAATCAAGGTCCCGAAAAAATTACCCAACAGCATCAGTGTTACTACCAAAAATCACCCTTCTAGTCAGGGCATCAGGGTGATTTACACTGATAACGTGGGCCCTGGTACCAACCCTAAGTTTCAAAAAGTAGACTCCCCAACCTATGCTGATGAGTTCGTACTGAATCTGGGGGTCTTATCCTACAACCGGGTCACGGTTCGCATTTCCCGGCCTTGATCTTGACTTGGTCCGGAATGCACACTCTGGTGGATTTGACGAGCTTATCGATGCAATCGTAGCCGTTGGTCTTCCTGTAGCACCCTTTGATTCCACGGAAGTACTTGACCTGCAGGCCAGTGCAGCGGTCGCCAGTCCCAACCACGTACGCACGAGTCTTGGGGCACACTCCTTGCGTGAAGCTGAACGAGCTGCCTATGCACGCCTGCACCCGTGTGAATCCGGTGTGTGTACGGAGGAGGGGGAAAAGAGGGTGGAGGGAAGAGGAAGAGGGGATGACAGAGTCAGGTGTGAACTAAAGGTGCGGACTGCAAATGTGTTCTGCTGTCTGATCTGCAGGTGTGAACCGGCAGTGTAGGCCGAGACAGAAACAACGGGTGAGGCAAGCAATGACTGCCATGGAACTGCATGAAACCAGCATGGCTGCGGGTAAACTGGGTGGGAACCATAGGGATAGTCAGCAGGATTTGTGAAAACGAGAGGCAAGAGGAGAGGGCACGAACGAGTGGGGAGAGTGTGAAGAAAGGGAAGAGAGAATGTAGGAGAGGAGAGAATAAAGCAGAGGAATGTGGGGAGGAAGAGGAGAGCAGAGGCAGAGGGAGACCTCGAAGCCTGTGAGGCTGCCGACGTCAGTCTTGGGCACGAGGCGGCTGCACTTGATGCCGGGGTTGAGGCGGAAGAACTCGAGAGGGGAGAGCGGCGGGGAGGGCACGGAGCGGATCTGGTCGCACGTCTCCCCGGCCTGCACCAGATAGAACTGCGAGCACACCGGGATGAGCAGCGCCGCTGCACTCTCCGCCCGCCGCTCCACACACACCGCCTGGCTGCCCACCAGCTCCCCGCTGCTGCTGGAGCAGTCCAGCCCCGGGTTGAGCGCCTGGAAGGCCTCGGCGCAGGGCTGGGTAGGATAAGGGCAGCCAGCCGTGAGGGAGAAGTAGGAGGCTAGAGACTCGCATGTGTCTCCCTGGGAGGATGGGAGGGAGGGAGGGAGGGAAGGAGGGAGGGAGGGAGGGAGGGAGGGAGGGAGGGAGGGAGGGAGGGAGGGAGGGAGGGAGGGAGGGAGGGAGGGAGGGAGGGAGGGAGGGAGGGAGGGAGGGAGGGAGGGAGGGAGGGGGGAGGGAGGGAGGGGGGAGGGAGGGAGGGGGGAGGGAGGGAGGGAGGGTGGGAGGGAAGGAGGGAGGTATGAAGTGTTGAAGAGAAAGGCTCCGCCCTCGCTTGGCCGCAGTCGTCTTCGACAGGGTGGATTTGACGAAGCTGTCGACAATGGTTGCCTAATTAGACAGAAAGGTTTTCACTGTTAAACGACAATGGTTGCCTAATTCGACGATATTTTGTTGTCGACGAGCCCTTCCGCTCGTCGACGAGTCCGCCGACGACCACTGATAGATTAGCTTGTCGACAAGTGCACGTCGACAAGCGATGTTCGACGAGCCTTGTGTTGGCGAGCGTCGGTCAAGAAATGGATGCCAAACAGATCGGCCGAATTCGCTCAACTAGGAAAGTCGGCATGTGACGACATTCACCTCGGATGTCTCCCTAAACTAGGAAAGTCGGCGAAGTTCGATTTTTGAGTCGACTCAAAAATCGACTCGGATGTTTTGGCGAAGTTGACCTGCGAAATGGCATCACGTGCTTGACGGTGGACATCTAGTGAACGGTCGGCGTCAACTTGGCATCGGCGCAATGTGAACGGTCGCAACTGACTGCTGTGCAGTCCTGCACCTACTTAGTAGGTGGCGCACACGTTCACCTGCGACTGCAGTGTTGGCAATCCGTTTTGGGTGCAACGCTGGCAGGTCGCCCTGTTGCAGCGTTGGTTGGCAAGCCGCTGTTCTGCAGCGTTGGCAGGTCGCCCTGCAGAATGCTTGCTAGGTATTTCAATGCCTCCTTGCTTATCGACTTGCATGCCTCAAACCTAAGCCAAGTGCTAGCAACGCTCCAATCACCTCGTACAACCCCGTAGCTTCCCACAAGTCCGGCTACCGTTGTAAAATGAATCTCCGCATGAGGGACGGGGGGAAGGAGGGAGGGAAGAAGGGATGGATGGATGGGAGCGAGGTAGGGAGGAGAGGCGGGCAGGGGGGAGGTGGAGAGGGAATGAAGAGAGGGAGCTCGAGGAAGGGTAAAGGAGCACTGGGAGAAAGGAGCAGGGGAAGGCGCACAAGTGTGGGGGTTGGGAGAAGGCAAGGAAAGGAAAGGAGCCAATGTAGGAAAGAGGGATGGGGGAGGGAGGGACGGAGGGATGGAGGCAGGCAGGCAGGCAGGAAGTTAGGCAGGGAGGGAAGGAGGGGGCGGACCTCTGACGTGGTGTAGTAGACGGAGCAGGGCGTGAGGTCATCTGGCTGGACCACGTTCACCACCGTGCCGACAAAAAGAGGAGCGCTGCAGCTCAGACCCTGGAGGGGCAAGGGGAGAAGAGAAAGGACGAGGGGAGGAAGGGAGTTGGAAGGAGAGGGAGACTGATAATTTTGACTTGAAAAACGTGCTTTGCAGTTAAAGATCTGCTAAAGAGCAAGATGCGGTGGGTGTGGGTGAAGTTTAGAAGTCCACGGTCTAAGAAGAGTATTTTGAAGAATGTGGAAAAGGCAGTGGGGAAGCAGAGGCTTAGTGGGAATGCAACAAGGAAGAGGAAAGCAAGTGGGCACCCCATGGTCTGGGTTTTCATTGTTAGAGGACGTTTCCTCAAGGAATAACACGGCCATTCTCAGGATTCTAGGCTTATAACCGCCACCGGGCCTCACCTGGTTCTGGGCTTGCAGCTGAGCGAGAGTGAGGTCGTAGACGGGGTGGATGTCTGCACACGTGAGCCCCTCCAACACCACCATGTACTTGCTGCTTGAATCACCTGTGCAGTGCGACGCAGTGCGGTGCAGCATGGTGCAGATGGGTGTAGGCCAGTGCAAACGAGCATGGATCTTTGGTTATGAGAGGATATGGAGGTGATTGTGGAGGTGAGTGGCAGTTACGTCAAAAGGCGGGCTTTTGAGAATTCTCGGAGGCGACGTGTCGTGTGAAAGACTATGCTTGGTTGATGGTAACATGGCGTGGAAGCATGGAAAACAGTGGAGAAAAATGTCCTGCCCTTGAGGCGCCTCACAAACATGTCGGTGGTGGCACAGCATAGGGTTGCGATGAGAAAGGCAACCCTTGGACGAAGGATACCAGAAAGAGTGGAGACAAGTGGATCTCGGACCACGAGAGGATTCTGAAGTGCAATCAAGGAATGTCACAGGATAAGGTTACGTTGAGCACAGGAGAGGGTTACCAGGAGCACAGGAGAAGGTGCCATCAACCGTGGTGCCCTGCCTGAAGCCCGGAGGGCACACACACGAGTACGACCCCTTGCCATCATTCACACACGTGCCCACCGCACACGGATTGCGCACCGCTGCTCTGCATGCGTCCTCTGCAGAAGAAGAGAAGAGGCAAGATGAGCATGCTTTGAAGAGACTGAACGCATGTGGTTGACTGAGACGTGCCAAACAAATAGAAAGCACAGGAGCCACTGTAAGCACAGGTGCGCGTACGAGCTAAGATTTATCATCAGTAAGCTCTCGTTGGAAAAAAAAAACACATTAAAATTATGCTCACTGTAAGCACAGGTGCGCGTGCTGTCGGGATTGCGAGCCTCCACGAATCGAGGGTCGTTGCAATCGCAGCGGTTGCTGCTTCCATCAACAGTGCACGTGAAGTTGCCACACGGGTTGAACAGCGACCCAAACTCCTCCCTGCTCGTCCCGTTGACATTGCAGGGGTCCTTGGCAGCGCGCACCACCGGGTAGATCCCAGGCAGCGTGTTGATCCCACACACGCCGTCGCCCCCCTGGATGTCCATACGCATGTGCCCGCCATCGCCCCACTCCGGGCCCCATGAGTTGCGGATGATCCAGAAGGGCGGCGCCATGTGCGGGAAGGTGGGGTCTGAGCCGGTGAGGCGATAGCCCACCAGCAGCACCACGTGGTTCAGGTTGTACGCGAAGCACGAGGGGTCATCGTACTTGGATAGCTGAGGGGGGAGGCACTTGGGATCGAATGAGTTCGCAGGATTTCCTCACAGAGGGTTTTTTCAAAGCAGGCCTACTACAGCTTTTTACTAAACAATACAAGTTGCTGCCACGCAAAGTCATGGATCCTATTTTGGGCTCCTTCACACTTGGGATGGAATGGGTTGGCAAGATCTCCTCTCGTGGGACTACTCTCGTGCATACGCTTGTATCGTCACTCGGACGATCTCTCTAGAATTGTGGACCCTTGGAGGTGGCCCCGTGGATATAATTTTGTACGAGTTAATTGGTGCGCATGGAGTGATCTAAGTCCATGTAGTAGTAGCCAACATGTGTGGGCGTGGCGTGGGTGTGGGTGTGTGTATATGCATGTGCGTGTCCAAGTGTGCGTGTGTGTACGTGCTTGCGTGTGTGTGTGCGTGCATGTGTGCGTGGGTGTGTGTGTGTGTGTGTGCGTGTGTGGGTGTAAGTGTGTGCGTCTGTGTGTATCAGTGAGTGAGTGGGCTCACCCCATCGTGGTTAAGGAAAGAGGGGACGGTGGCCTGCACATGCACCACCACGGGCTGTCGCTGCACGGCCAGCAGCAGCCCAAACCAGCTGTGGAACGCCGTGCGCTCAAACCCGTCCACTCTGAACGGCCCCCCCGATGGCTTGCTCTGCCGTGGGGGCGGGGGAGGAGGGGTAGTGGAAACAGTTGGAATGAAACAAAAAAATGCTGGACAAACAATCAGCAACCAAGCACAAGCCGCGAAGCAAAGGAAAAAAAGAAAAGAAGAAGGAGAAGAAGGAGGAGAAGAAGGAGGAGGAGGAGGAGGAGGAGGAGGAGGAGGAGGAGGAGGAGGAGGAGGAGGAGGAGGAGGAGGAGGAGGAGGAGGAGGAGGAGGAGGAGGAGGAGGAGGAGGAGAAGAAGAAGAAGAAGAAGAAGAAGAAGAAGAAGAAGAAGAAGAAGAAGAAGAAGAAGAAGAAGAAGAAGAAGAAGAAGAAGAAGAAGAAGAAGAAGAAGAAGAAAGAAGAAGAAGAAGAAGAAAAGGCGTGACTGCTGGTCAACTTGCCTTACAAAGGAAAGAAAAGGTCGAGGGGAAGAAAAGGCAAGATTATAACCAAAACCTTACCGATCCAGTGGTCCGACCTCGACTGCACGAGATCCCAAACGCTTTTACAAGTTGAGCGAAAACAGGCACGCCACAAAACGGGTTCGTGCTGGTGCTTCCCGTCTTCGTGCTCCCGCCCCCGCTCACCACCACCTTCGCCCCGCCCTCCTCCGTGAGCCCTAGTTTGCTCTTGGCGTTGAGGGTGATGAGATACTGGAAGGCCTGGGAGGGCGAGTTGCCCTGCGAGCATGAGGAGCCGAGGGCGTCGCGCAGCTGGGAGACGGAGAGGAGCGGCACGGCGGAGAGGTTGGAGAGAATGCCGTATGCCATTTCTATGCTGCCCACCACCGCGTACGCCCAGCAGTCGCCTGACGGAGAGGGGAGGAAGTGGGGAAAGGGAGAATGGGAAGAGGGACGAGAGACGAAGCTGTAGGTGGCTTCTATGGTGCATATAGCCACATAAGGCCAGCAGTTACTTGGAATGGGAAGAGGGAAGGGACTCCAAGGGAGGGGAAGGAGAAGGGGGAGTGGAAGAGGGAAGGGGAACAGGGAAGGGAAAGGGGAGAATGAGAAGGGGAAACATAAAACAAACTACACCAGTAAAGATTGTGACACAGCCCTTCTCACCACCATAATGCATCCCAACAACACTGCCCCCCCCCCCACCCCCCTCCCCCCAGTGCTCCTGATGTGGCGCAGTCTATCTATCCCATACCATCCCACACAATCTCGCATCCCATCCCGCCCCATCTGGCCTCACCCCACCACACTCCATCCCCACAAGCACACTCTCACCGCAGGCGCCCACCACACTCCCATCCCCACAAAGAGCACGCTCTTACCACAGGCGCCCTGGTTCTTAACAGGCCACGGCAGTCCCAGTTCAGCCCAGGAGAACGCCTGGCTCACAACCCACACCTCCTCGTCCTCTCCTCCTCCTGGCGCCTCCAAAGGCTGCACGCCCCCACTGGCATAGCGGAAAAAGGGGTTCGCTCCTACTGGTGACAATGACGCCTCACTGAATCGGAACCCAAACTGCTGGCCTGCGGAGTAGAGGAGAGGGTATGATTATGTAGGGTAAGGTAGAGTTGGGTGGGGTAGGGTAGGGAGGATGATAGTGGGAAGTAGTTGTAGGAAAGTACATTTGAAACGCAGAGAATGGTTGAGATGCATGCATACGAAGAGAATCAGGGCAATCAGGGCAATGCACGATGAGAGAGCCAATGTTTATGGGTCCATGAGAGGCAAGAATGTTGGATACTCCAAAGTAGAACAAAGCTTAGTCGTACACTCTAGGAGAATACGATTCTCTAGAAGTACCCAAGAATGCTAGCCATGCAGATTAGCAGAGTGGAGAGACTGTAGCAATGCAGTGGGAGCGGTTGTGAGAGAGAATTATGGAAAAGACTGGTTAAAGGAACGGGGAGAGGACTGGGGTGAGAGCTGGGCGACTGGAGGACAGGAAAGAAGAAGATCAGGCCATCAGAAGGGCAGACGAGTCAACCCAGTACGACTCGAGTCAATATGAGTGAAGTCTGTTGTACCTGTGAGGGTGGTTGGCTCCGGTAGGCCTGGATAGAAGGGATGACGGACGGAGAGAGGAGAGAGAAGAAAGCATGGAGAAGAGACGTGAGGAAGGTAAGGGGATGAATGTTGTGCATGTGGGACAAGATCTGGGAAAGTCACCAGTGATGCAGATGTAACCAGTGATGCAGATGTAACCAGTGATGCAGATGTAACCAGTGATGCAGCTGTAACCACTGATGCAGATGTAACCAGTGATGCAGATGTAACCAGTGATGCAGATTGTAACCAGTGATGCAGATGTAACCAGTGATGCAGATGTAACCAGTGATGCAGATGTAACCAGTGATGCAGCTGTAATCAGTGATGCAGATGTAACCAGTGATGCAGCTGTAACCAGTGATGCAGCTGTAATCAGTGATGCAGATGTAACCAGTGATGCAGATTGTAACCAGTGATGCAGATTGTAACGAGTGATGCAGATGTAACCAGTGATGGACATGTAATGTAAAGAGTAAATCACGTGCAATCAGTGAAGGGCATGTAACGAGTTGGACCTGCGTTGATGGTCCAAGCGAGGATGGAGTGCTGCTGCGGGGAGTCAGACGCAGAAGCAGAGAAGCCCATGAGGAACGAAGCCTCCTGTTTGGTGGGCTTGAGGTAGTGGCAAAGAGACACCTGCACCGACAGCACTGCCTTGCTCGGTCGGGGGGATGCCTTGGCCGAGAGAAACACTTGCAGCGACCCCGTGCCGCGAGTGTTAGCGCTGGCACCAGCGGTGGAACTAGAAGAAGAGGAGGAAGGAGAGGGGTCGAAAACAATCCAGGCGTGCTTTGGAGTGCCGTCGTTGAGAGTCAAGGGTGCTTTGGCTATTGCGATGGAGGAGGTTTTTCCCTTCACACTGAGTCCTACGTGGTTGTTGTCCGGGTCGTTCGCATCGGTGTTACTGGTAGTATCAAACTCCACTGCTATGCTGCGCTCATCCATGCCTGCATACCCCAAACTGCCGCCCCCACCACTGCCGTCACTGCTGCCGCTGCTACCGCCCGTCGCAGTGTCACTGGCGGCAATCACAAATGCAAAACCATCCCCAGTTTCTGCTGCTGCGTTGGCAGGGGCTGGTTTGAGAATGGAGAAGGAGAAATAGACGGTGAAGGCGAAGGGGCGGCCGCAGGCACCGGCTTTAAGGGCAAAGGAGAAGAGCGAGACGGGGAGCTTGAAAAACGCTGCACCCCACGTGTTGGGCTGTGAGACTGTGAGTGTGATGGTACCATCAGTCGCTACTGCCGCCTGCCCTTTGACTGCTGTTTGCGCTGCTGTGGGCTCTATGTCCATTGGGTCGCTCTGCACGCCTGGCAGACGGGGACAGAGAGCATGGGCAGAGAAAGAGAGCATGGGCAGAGAAAGAGAGCATGGGCAGAAAGCACGGAAAAGGGAGAGTTGAGCAGAGAAGGGCACGGATAGATTAGTGGGAAGGGCCGCATAGCAAGCCTGGCCCAAGGTGGGCTGAGCCAAGGTAAAAAAAATCGTCGTTTTTTTGAAAATTTACCGTAAAAAACGGTTCCAAAAGGTGATTTTCGTCGGAAGAGAAAATCGGTCATTTTTTGGGACCAAATTGATGGCGGAAAGCACCAGGATGAACAGACGAACCCCTCCTTGCACGTGTGCATGTCTGGGCATGATTGAAAATGTATCCAACCTTGTTTGTGCCTCTTTTTTCTTGGTGACAAGTGTTCTCTAACAAAAAAACGCCGTATTTCTGAAAAATTACCGTAAAAAACGGACCGTAATTTACGAAAACCGTATTTTTGCACCTTGGGATGAGCTGAGCACGACCAGCCATTAGTGGGCAGTGGTCTCGACCTATTTAGACCCAATTCATCTTGGCCCCAGCAAGGTCCCGCTAAACATTCGGGTCGGGCTGGCCCAAGCCCGCCTTCTTATCGTCTCATGCTAATGTCTGCTCGCCCTTAGGGTGGATCGCTGTGGAGCTTACTAGGGTTTATTTGATTATGTGCCTTGCATTTCAATGATGTTGCCATTTAGCCTCGCTCCCGTGTTTTTTACTCACGCATTGCTAAAAAAGACTGTAACAAGCTGTAGTTGTTGTTGCTTAGTGGTTTTTACAGTAGGTATTCCATTCATCCACTAGACACTGTGATAGTGGGGCTGTGTCACGACTTTTGAGGCGCCTCGAAAGTTATTCCATCCATCCACTAGACACTTCGATAGTGGGGCAGTGTCACGTGTGGTGTAGGGGAAAAACGTCCATACATGGCATGGGTGCTACAGGATGCAGGGCGACAAGGAGGGGTTTCACACTGTTGTGCAGCAAGTATGTCCCAGTGGGTAGATTCTCACCTTTGGTTTTAAAGGCCGTGGGTTCAAGTCTCAGCAGCTGCACCTTCTCCTCTCATTATGCTCAATATGACATGTCCACACTCCACCACAGTGAAGTGTGGTCACAGTTGGCCTTGCCATCTGTCCCCTCATCCCATACTCACCTTGCTGGCCCCCATGGTGTGTCATATGTTGTAATGTGGGCTGTTGTTTCAGCCTGGCCCATATGTTCAACATGCGGCCTCAGTTGCTAGCTTGGCAAGGTTGGCTAGCCTTGCCCTCAACTTTGAGGTGCTGCAGCTAGCCTCAAGAGTTCAGCCACATATATGTGGCTTCCTTCTTCACTAGGAATCATCCTTGGACAAGGACCTTGCTCTAGTCTCTAAGACTTGTAACATCCTCTTGCTAAGGATACTTTCTTCTTCCTATTGTGCCTTACGTTCACCGATCCATTTTCTACACACATCACAAGCCGAATTTTACTCGGCTCATGTTGAGTATAGAAGCTTGGGTCGCGTATAGAAATACTCGACCTTTTGGCCGGATAAAAATTTCGCTACGAGTCGAGCGAAGAAGACGAAGAAGAAAAAAAACAAATCGAGCATCCGAATAATGACTTCGGCCAGTATTCGACCCAGTCATGTGAAAGCGAATCGAGTTTCACTTGAACCTATGAACCCCACGTCAGAGCGGTGCTCTTTGCATGTGAAAGGGGCTCTGTGCATGTGAGAGGGCGGTTCATAGTGTGCTTGCTTGGTAGATACTACGCCCGCACACATCACTACATTACTCGCACAGCCCTAACCACCCTCACTAGCCTCACAGCCCTAGCATTCCCCTCTCCCCGATCACTCCCCTCTCCCTCCCTTTCCTGCACTCACTTCCTTCAGCGACGCAACTTCCAGGCAACTCCCCGATGACAAACCCGGAATCGCAGTCACACGTGGGAACTTTGCTGGGCCCATCCAGAAAGCACGCGCCATGCCCACCGCACGGGGGATTGACAGCACTCACGCCGCAAAACGCAGCACAGAGCACTTCCGGCCGCTGCACCGCTGCAGCCGCAGCAGAGGGCGTGGCAGGCGTGGGGCAGGCGTAGCCGTCAGCAGGGGTTTCAAGGCAATTGAAGCGGAAGGAGATGGAGCCTTGGGCGCAGTCAGGCGGGGAGGAGAAGCCTGAGGAGAAGTAGTTGAGATCGAGATTGTAGGAGGTGAGGGTTGCTGGGATGGGCTGCAGTATACGGCCCGTCAGCTGGTTGTTGCGCAGGTTTCTGTGAGGGGGTTGCAAGGGAGGGGTTGGGGACAGAAGGAGAGAGGAAAAGGGGACTAGATGCCTCAGGATGTTTATTTGTAATATCTCCCATATAGACTAGACTACTTGGGTGCAGTTAGGCACCAAAATTCATTTGGGTGTACAATTAGGAATCACCCTAATTGGGGTTGGAATTCCAACCTTGGCCCAACAATCTGACCCCCAAGGCTTGTTGTATTTTCTTATTTTTGTACAACATACATAGACTAGAATTGGAGGTGTAGCAATCTTATCAATCGGGGGGTTGTTTGGTGCCCTCCAACCACAACTAGTGGTTGGTGGGGACTGGTTGGTCCTTAGCTCAACCAATCCAAACCAAAACACATTTGAGGCTGCTTGGGTCACCCAGCGCTGTCCCACTATCTGGTGTGACAACGCCAGTGCCATTCACCTCTCTAAAGATGCTGTGTTTCACAAGAATCAAAACACATTGAGCTTCATCATTTCTTCATTCGGGATTTTGTTCAGGCTGGGCACCTTGGAATAAGCTGTGGGATGCCTCTGAGAAGCCTTTGGAGAGGCTTGAATAGAAGCTCTTTAATCCTTTAGTCGGTTCATAATGGGTTCCAAGGCACATGTTATCATTTTTCTAAGCAGGTTATGAGGCATGTCGAGTTGAGTATATTTGCAGGTGGCGGGCGGGATGCGGATGGAATTATGTCGGGAGGGCATACCGGAAAGATTGATGGTGGGAGGATGCACAGGAGAGTTGGGATAACGGAAGGACACACAGAAGAGGAGAATGCACCGGATGATGTGGGGTGGACGCACAGGAGAGTGAGGCGAACAAGGCCGGTGAACTGAGTGGGGATGGTTCCATGCAGACGGTTGTTGCTCAGGTCACTGCCGAGGGAGAGGAGAGAGAGTGTGAGAGAGGAGGGAACTTACATGTGGTGTTTCTCAGAATGTGGCATTGACAGAAACACGCATTGAGTGGGAAGGGGGAAAGTAGCTCTTTTTAAAGGATTCTAAGAGATCGCCCACACAGAACTCAGCGTTGTTGTGAGTTGCCGCTCGAGCAAGGGAACAAGGCAACGCTGTAGCAAGGAACAGTGGCAGGACTGGTAGCAGCAACCAATTGTGAAAAAAATCCCTTGAGACGTCTCAAAAGTCAACAGCCGGAGGACTGGTAGCAGCAACCAATCGTGAAAAACATGGAGCGGTTAACAGAAAAGGCCTTGCTCGATCCAACCCTATCAAGAGCGTGCATGACACGTTATGAGATGTCTCAAAACTACGTAGTGCGTGCATAGCATGACAGGGGCAACACGGATTGCCAGGAAGATTTGATTCTAGCTGCGAGTTCGTTAATGAGGAGGAATTTCAAATATCAACAGATTCAGGCTACCCTTATCTCAGTTCATCAGCAGCGCATATACTCAGGAAACCCCTTACAGGAAGGGAAGAATGTTATGGGCACGTAGGATAAAGCCTAGCCAGCTACGACCTCTCACTCTTAGGGCACAAAACAGACAGAACACAGAGAGAGCAGAGAGATTGGAGAGCAGAGTGCACTCACAGGGTTTCCAGCTTCAAGAGCCCTCCGAGAAGCGTTGGCAGAGTGCCGCTGATTTTGTTGCAGCAGAGCTTGCTGAGGGGTGCAGACGGAGGGGGCAGAGAGAGGGGGCAGACAGAAAGGGTAGAGAGAGGAGGGCAGAGAGAGAAGGGCAGAGATGTGGGTGGGTTGGGTAGTGAAGAGGAAGGTGGGAAGGGGAGGTGTAGGATGAAGGGCGAACGGCGGAAGGGGCATTGTGGGACTGATGAGCAGCAGATGGACAGGTGAAAGGGAAGAAGAGGGCAGGAAAAGCAGAGAAGAAAAAAATGTTCAGGAAAAGCGGAAAACGAAGGCAAGAAGGGGAGCAGCCATGATGGGAGGGGAGGAGGGACGAAGGGGAGAAGGGGAGCAGGCATATGAGGCATTGACAGGACATGCAGGTTGGCGGAAGACTGACAGCGATACAAGATTGTTGAGAGTGGAGTATTGCGAAGGTATGGAGCCGGTAAACTCGTTGCCACCCAGATTGCTGCAGTAAAGGGAGGATGCAGGTGGGAGCGAGTAGGGAAGGGAGGAGGGAGGAGGCGGGGAGGAAAAAAGGGAGGGGAGAAGGGATGGGGGAAGGGAGAGGGAGGGGAGAAGGGGGGGAACGGGGGTGGGGAAGGGAGGGGGAAAAGGGAGGAGGGAAGGGAGGGGAGGCAAAAAAGGAGGAGGGGTTGCATAAAAGGAGGAAAGATGGGAGAAACTACAACAAGTGAGAAAAGATTGTCCTATAAAATCCACAGCAGAAGGTTCGGCATGCTATATACAAAACCATCTTCCATGCCCCTACCAGAACCCCAGAAGCAGGGGAGAGTGAGGGTGGAAGTGGGAGAGCGGAAGAGGAACGGAAGAGGGCAGGGCAGTGCGGCACTCACGAATAGGGCCTTGAGGTGTTTAAGTGAATCCTCACGAACCAAGTGTCAGACTTTGAGCTTGAACTGATACATTAGTAATGAGCTCAAAGCTCTTTAAGTACGTCGGAAATGAGCAAGTATGGATGGGGAGGGAATCGGGGCCAATCTCAAGACATTCTCCAATTGGTGGGTTGGAGATTGCTTGGAAATCATATTTGGGTTTGGTTGGGATGTGGGTGTACACCCAACCAAACACAAAGTGCAAACTACACTATGCTAGGATTTAAAAGTACAAATACAAAAGTTGAGATTGAGGGGTAACTCTAACACCAAGCACTCACAGGTCCTTGAGGGTGGTGATCTCGCTGATGCTCATTGGCAGTGGGCCGGACAGGTCGTTGTTGCTCAGGTCACTGCGGGGTGAGGGCGTGCAGAGAGGTTGGGTTCAGTTGGGTTGAGTTGGGTTGGGTTGGGCTGGGTTGGGTTGGGTTGGGTTCGGTTGGGTAGGGTTGGGTTGGGTTGGGTTGGGTTGGGGCAGGGGCAGGGGCAGGGGCCAGAGCGTTGGATAAGTAGAGAGAAAACGGAAGGCAGTGGGAGGGGTGGGTGCGCTTAGCCAACTAAGAGATAGACATTCAGTGTGGCATTCGATGGTGAAGACATGAGAAGGAACCAAATATTTAGATTTTTCATGGAATGGCATGGAATGGCATGGCATGGCATGGCATGGTGATGCTCAGTGATACCTGCCGCGCGTACATTTCACGATAGCTCATTGTAACTCTTGAGTCGAGACTCAAAAGTCACTCTAAGTTGACTCAAAAGTGAGAGGGCGCGTGGGAGCAGGAGCAAGTGGGCGGGAATACATGCTGGTGATGGCACCCAAGACAGTGATGCCCACAGGCACAGTTCCCGATAGCATGTTGTAACTCAGGTCTCTGCCATGGGGTCACAAAAAGGGGACACGGGAGGGGGCAAGGGAGAGGGGGCGAGGGAGAGAAGGCGAGAAGAGAGGGAGTGCAGCAAAGGAAACAGGGGAAGGGAGAGGGCGTGAGAAGAAAGGGATAAAGAGGAGGAGTCAATGGAAAGCGAAAGGAATGGAGGTAAACAGCGGAGCACAGGGATGGGCACCTGCTTGCAGCTTGCTCGCTTGATTCTTCAGTTGTGTGCATGGTCGGTTGGTTGGCTATTCACACTTGACTGGATGTAAGAGCTTTCAATGATAACTGAGACAGTGTTGTCGTGCAAGCGATGGGACGCAGGTGACGGGATGCAAGTGATAGGGTTCAAGCGATGGGGTTCATACAGCTTCTGCAGGTTGGCGATCTTTGCAAGTACTCCTGCTGGCACGGAACCCGTGAGAAGATTGTTGGAGAGAGATCTGGAGAAAGAAGCAGAGAGACAAAGAGGGATAGAGAGACGGAATCATGGAGAGACAAAGAGACAGAAGGGCAAAGAAATGCAGGGCAACAGCGTGGTGGCAGGGGATGAGGGGGTGAGAACAAGTACAATTGATAGAAAGGATAGAAAGGACGATCCAGTTGGTGAGAGAAATGCCCCTAAGAATGATCTCGGCAGTAGGAAGTGTGCTGCAGAGCACATGTGGAGCATGCGAGGGGATAGTTGAAACGCCTCAAATAAAGGGATGGTTGAGATAGTGAGGCTGGTGTAAATGAGGGGAGTGCATACAGCGCCTCAAGTGCAGTAAGGGTGCTTATAGATGAAATGGTCGAGTCCGAGAGACGGTTGAAGCTCAAATTCCTGCGAGAGTGAGAGGAGGGGTGGATGAAGGAGAGGAGGAAGAAACGGAGCGACGGAGTGGGGGAGGGATGTGTGGGAAAGAGGAGGAGGAAGGGGACACTAGGGGGTTTCTGGTTTGGGTATGTGGAGAGTGACGTGGGCTGCTGCTGCAGAACAATTTGAGCACATGGGCTGGGGCATGTGAAGACACACGCACAAACATGGTTGCACGAACACATGAGCACATGGGCACATGAACACGTGAACAACACATGAGCACATGAGCATTGAGCCCAACCCCAAGCTCAGTCTGACCTCCTTCGACCCCAACCCAAAGAAGAGTACGCTCTCAATATACTGACTCAACTCTCCACTGCAATGCTCCACAATCTCGCAGGCAGATTTCCTGCTGCAAGCCTTTTACTGCACCGCGGTTCATTCATCGAGTTTTGAGGCGCCTCAAAAGTCCTGCTGCAAGCTTTATACTGCACCGCGGTTCATTCATCGAGTTTTGAGGCGCCTCAAAAGTCCTGCTGCAAGCTTTATGCTGCACCGCAGTTCATCCATCGAGCATGGACAGAATTGCATTCTTGTGGAAAGTTGGGGAAAAAGGTAGTGGGCTAACAGGTTGGTGAGTTTGGTGAGGAGGGAGAGGGAGGAGGGCATTGATCCAGAGAATTGGTTGCGACTCATGTCCCTGTGGTGCAGCATGGCATGGCATGGCATGGTGTGTGTGGTGTGGTGTGGCATGGGATGGGATAGCAGCACGGCATGGCATGGCATGGCATGGCATGGCATGGCAGATAAATGCATTGGTCAGAGTGAGGAGAGAGGGGGACTAGGGGACAAGAAAGAAACATGCGAGGACAAGAAAGAAACATGCGAGGACAAGAAAGAAACATGCGAGGACAAGAAAGAAACATGCGAGGACAAGAAAGAAACATGCGAGGACAAGAAAGAAACATGCGAGGACAAGAAAGAAACATGCGAGGACAAGAAAGAAACATGCGAGGACAAGAAAGAAACATGCGAGGACAAGAAAGAAACATGCGAGGACAAGAAAGAAACATGCGAGGACAAGAAAGAAACATGCGAGGACAAGAAAGAAACATGCGAGGACAAGAAAGAAACATGCGAGGACAAGAAAGAAACATGCGAGGACAAGAAAGAAACATGCGAGGACAAGAAAGAAACATGCGAGGACAAGAAAGAAACATGCGAGGACAAGAAAGAAACATGCGAGGACAAGAAAGAAACATGCGAGGACAAGAAAGAAACATGCGAGGACAAGAAAGAAACATGCGAGGACAAGAAAGAAACATGCGAGGACAAGAAAGAAACATGCGAGGACAAGAAAGAAACATGCGAGGACAAGAAAGAAACATGCGAGGACAAGAAAGAAACATGCGAGGACAAGAAAGAAACATGCGAGGACAAGAAAGAAACATGCGAGGACAAGAAAGAAACATGCGAGGACAAGAAAGAAACATGCGAGGACAAGAAAGAAACATGCGAGGACAAGAAAGAAACATGCGAGGACAAGAAAGAAACATGCGAGGACAAGAAAGAAACATGCGAGGACAAGAAAGAAACATGCGAGGACAAGAAAGAAACATGCGAGGACAAGAAAGAAACATGCGAGGACAAGAAAGAAACATGCGAGGACAAGAAAGAAACATGCGAGGACAAGAAAGAAACATGCGAGGACAAGAAAGAAACATGCGAGGACAAGAAAGAAACATGCGAGGACAAGAAAGAAACATGCGAGGACAAGAAAGAAACATGCGAGGACAAGAAAGAAACATGCGAGGACAAGAAAGAAACATGCGAGGACAAGAAAGAAACATGCGAGGACAAGAAAGAAACATGCGAGGACAAGAAAGAAACATGCGAGGACAAGAAAGAAACATGCGAGGACAAGAAAGAAACATGCGAGGACAAGAAAGAAACATGCGAGGACAAGAAAGAAACATGCGAGGACAAGAAAGAAACATGCGAGGACAAGAAAGAAACATGCGAGGACAAGAAAGAAACATGCGAGGACAAGAAAGAAACATGCGAGGACAAGAAAGAAACATGCGAGGACAAGAAAGAAACATGCGAGGACAAGAAAGAAACATGCGAGGACAAGAAAGAAACATGCGAGGACAAGAAAGAAACATGCGAGGACAAGAAAGAAACATGCGAGGACAAGAAAGAAACATGCGAGGACAAGAAAGAAACATGCGAGGACAAGAAAGAAACATGCGAGGACAAGAAAGAAACATGCGAGGACAAGAAAGAAACATGCGAGGACAAGAAAGAAACATGCGAGGACAAGAAAGAAACATGCGAGGACAAGAAAGAAACATGCGAGGACAAGAAAGAAACATGCGAGGACAAGAAAGAAACATGCGAGGACAAGAAAGAAACATGCGAGGACAAGAAAGAAACATGCGAGGACAAGAAAGAAACATGCGAGGACAAGAAAGAAACATGCGAGGACAAGAAAGAAACATGCGAGGACAAGAAAGAAACATGCGAGGACAAGAAAGAAACATGCGAGGACAAGAAAGAAACATGCGAGGACAAGAAAGAAACATGCGAGGACAAGAAAGAAACATGCGAGGACAAGAAAGAAACATGCGAGGACAAGAAAGAAACATGCGAGGACAAGAAAGAAACATGCGAGGACAAGAAAGAAACATGCGAGGACAAGAAAGAAACATGCGAGGACAAGAAAGAAACATGCGAGGACAAGAAAGAAACATGCGAGGACAAGAAAGAAACATGCGAGGACAAGAAAGAAACATGCGAGGACAAGAAAGAAACATGCGAGGACAAGAAAGAAACATGCGAGGACAAGAAAGAAACATGCGAGGACAAGAAAGAAACATGCGAGGACAAGAAAGAAACATGCGAGGACAAGAAAGAAACATGCGAGGAAGAGACAAGAAAGAACATGCGAGGACAAGGGAAAGAAACATGCGAGGACAAGAAAGAAACTAGGAGGACAAGAAAGAAACATGCGAGGACAAGAAAGAAACATGCGAGCACAAGAAAGAACCATGCGAGGACAATGCAACATAAGCCGACAGACGAGGAGAAACAAGCAGGCCCTTTCAAAGCGGCCCCTAGAGACCCATTGTGCGAAAAGGAAAGGTTAGTAAGGTGTGCGGCTGCTGTCACGCGTGGAAGGCAAGGCACGTGCGATAAACACATACACAGCAACGCCGCACCCATCCCCACCGCACACAATCATGTTGGACCCCTTCCTATAAAGAAACCACGGAGCACTGAGGAAAACCCAGCACTCACAGCTGAGGTGCATTGGTGAGCGCAGCAATAAGCGGCTCTGGGATGGAGCCTGAGAGAAGGTTGGACGACAGACCCCTGAAGGGGTGGGGTGAGAATGGTAAGGAAGGATGAGGGTGGTAGGAAGTGGTGAGTCGGTGTGGGATGGGTTGACATAAGGTGATATCGAGAGTGATGGAGTGTACGGGGTGCGGTGAAGAGGGATGGGATGGGATGGGATGGGATGGGATGGGGCTAGGAGGACAAGGTGCAATCAGAAGGGAATACAAGGAGGATGCATCCAAGTCGTGGGGATGTCGGATGGATAAGGTTGGGTAGGCTGGGGATGGAGAATCTACAACCAACCAATACGAAGCTTGTTTCAGTACAAAATTCGCAACCTAACAAAAAAGATGCAGCCTATTCCCAGCAGTGGAGAGACGGGAGAGGTAACTGTATCGTGGTTCTGAGGGGACTCAAGAGTAGACTATGTCTGAGATGTCACAAAAATCGACTACTTACACACGCTAAAGCGTGGTACTGACAGGGGGACACACACACACACACACACATGCTCCCTCGTAGCATAATGACAGGGTGGGGAGCTCTTGAGAGGGTGCGACACATGCTACCACCTAGCATACTGACAGTGCGGAGAGCTGGGAGAGCTGCTGAGAGGGCGCGACACACGCTACTGCGTGGTACTGACAGGGTGGAGAGCTGGGAGAGGCGGCTGTAGCCCAAAGGCAGCGATCCCGAGAAGATGTTGCTGCTGAGGTCGCTGGGGATGGGGGCAAAGAGGAGTGAGGGGTAGAGGAGGGAAGGGGAGAGGGGAGATGGGAGAGAGGAAGGGAGATCAGGGTGAGAAGGGAGGGGGAGTCGGAGGGAGAGGAGAGAGAGGGGAGAGAGGAGGCGGAGGAGATGGAGGAGAGTGGGAAGGGGGGAAGACTGCATGGGAGTCGTCGAATGCTAAAGAAGAAACGGAGGTGAGTGAGTGAGGGCATTGGGATGCAATTGTAAGTGGAAAAGAGGTGATAGAGGACTAGAAATTTGGACTAGAGGACTAGAGGATTATGGGGTGGCAGAGAGACAGAAGTGTGAGGAGAGAGAGCGAGACGTAGGGGGAAAAGAGTGAAGGTGAGAGTGAGTGGTGGAGGAGAGAGTGAGTGAGAGACTAACAGGTGAGAGAGGGCAGTGGCACGACTAAGGTCGGAGGGCAGTGGCCCTGATAACTGGTTGGAGCTCAGATCCCTGCACGTGCCCAGGAGAAAAGGGTTGTGGGGCAGGCAGGGATATACTGACCAATGCAGGGTGTTTACACGACACGACGGGTGGGAACTGGGACCTTGGGAACTTGGGACAGGACAGGACCGGAACACAAGGGGGATGAGGCAGGGGAAAACGGGAAGCTATATGGTGGAGGATGGGAGAGGAGAGGATGGGAGAGGAGAGGATGGGAGAGGAGAGGATGGGAGAGGAGCGGGTGGGAGAGGAGCGGGTGGGAGAGGAGCGGGTGGGAAATGGAGGAGCTGCACGGCTGCTCAGCTGATGGGGAACCTCAAAAGTGCAGCGTGCAGCGTGCAGCGTGCTTGCTTGCGTGCTTGCACTCACAGTTTCCTGAGGTCCGTGAGTTGGCTGACAATGGGAACGATGTCGCCAGAGAGCTGGTTGGACGCGAGCACTCTGAATGGGGTTGGTTGGGGCTCATGTGAGCACATGTGAGCACACGTGAGCACATGTGAGCACACGTGAGCACATGTGAGCACACGTGAGCACATGTGAGCACACGTGAGCACATGTGAGCACACGTGAGCACATGTGAGCACACGTGAGCACATGTGAGCACATGTGAGCACATGTGAGCACATGTGAGCACATGTGAGCACATGTGAGCACACGTGAGCACATGTGAGCACACGTGAGCACATGTGAGCACACGTGATTTTGGTTGGTGTGGCGTGTGATTCTGGTCGAGACCGAGGAGTGGTGTTTATGGTAGCGGTGGCGGTGGCGGCGGGGGCGGGAGCGGGGGTGGGGGAGGGGGCAGGGGCGGTGGTTGTGGTGGTGGTGTCGGGGTGGTCGTGGCTACGGGGGCAGGACAGGACATGCTGGTGACATCAAGTTTCGAAACGAAAGGAGGTGACAGCATGATACCATGGAATAACAGAAGGAGAAGCAGCAGAATCAAGACAGAAGGTGCATGGACCGAGGTGCAGCAGACAGGTCTAAGTCATGTGGATGTTTTGAGTCGACTTGAAACGAGTCACGTGGATTGCAACTAAGGGTTAGAGCTACAAAAAGGACCGAATCCGGAGGTGACAAGAGTGCAGCGATCTTTGGAATAAGACTGTATCTGTATGTATGGGGTCTGCCCGGCACGTGATTCGAAGGTGCACGTGAGCACGGTTACGAGTCGGCAGGTGACCATGGCTCGCCGCGGCTGACGGTTTGTCTTCGAATCGGCTTTGAATGAGCCGAATAGGAGGGTTTCATCAGGGAGCGGCCATGCCATGCTGTACAGTCCATCCCCATGCAATTCACGGCACGGCCCAGTATGGCATGGCATGGACTGCACAGCATGGCATGCAACGGGAAGCGCATGGCTCACAGATTTTGCAGTTTTCTTAGCCTGGTGAAGGAAGCAGGAACTGAGCCATCGATACCGTTGCCTGACATATCACTGCACGGATAGAAGGGAGGGAGTGGGGGTGGGAGGGAAGGTTTGAGGGAAAGGAGGGAGGGGGTGTGAGAGAAGGAGGGAGGTACGGGGGAGGGAGGGAGTGGTTGAGTGAGTGAGGGCGTGGGGGGGAGAGGGGGTAAGAAGGGGGGGAGGGGGGTCAGCAGGTTACATATGGTAAGGCCATGGGCTCATGTACCTTTTCTCGTGAAGATGCATTGTCTTACATGGTGACTGCACCAGCAACATTGGAAATTCCATCAGGAAGAGACCCTGAGAGAGCATTCCCGGACAAGTCGCTGTGATGAAGGGTAAAAGGGGCGAAGGGAGTTGGTGGAGTGGAGGGAAGAGGGGGGGTTGCTTTATTGGGGTGATTGATATTGATGGGATGGGATGAGAGAAGTGAACGAGCAAGGAAACGAGAGGGCACATCGAGTGATTGATAAACTTCAGGTAAATCGTGCAAGATAGATTGTGGAATGCCTGAGTGAGCTAGCTACAGCTACAGCTTGTTCTGCTATCAACAACGACCCTGTAGAGAAAGCTTCACTTCAGGTTCACTTCTTTCTTGATAAACTTCAGGTAAATCTCTTGATTGTTGTCCCAACCTCAACGCACGCTATAGGTTCGTTTGGAGCTTAAACAGAACCGGCTCTTCAATGTACATCCTCCCCTAGCTTCCCCTACATTTTTTGGTCCAATTTTTCTCTTTCCCCCTAACTTCCATGGCACATACAACAGCACTCTTCTATACTAGAATGACCCGAGCCCTGATTCAACAGGGAATGATCTGGAGGCACACGTACAGGTGCGAGAACGCGGTGTTGAGGTCTTTTGGTACAGGAATGGAACCAATAAAGGCACCGTTGTCCAACTTCCTGCGCCACACAACACATGAGCACACGCATACGAGCATGTACACGCACACGCACGCACGCGCACGCGCGCATAGGACATAGGCACACGCTCAAGCCGAGCCGGCTCACAGCAAGCCGAGAAGAGTCACATGCGGGATGAGTCAAGCGGAGATGAGGCGGAAAGTAGGGAAAGCCGAGTCGTTGAGCAGGCCGGCCAGCTCATGGCTCGTCTGGCAGGTGAGTCGAGTGCGTCAGACGAGCCAGGAATGGCTCACACCGAGCCGGGATGAGCCAGGAATGGCTCACACCGAGCCAGGAATGGCTCACACCGAGCCGGGATGAGCCAGGAATGGCTCACACCGAGCCAGGAATGGCTCACACCGAGCCAGTACAGCTCGCAACAAGGTGGTATACACAACGCCTGCAATCCCTCATGTGGCCCACACAAAGTTGCAACCCTCATTGGCCCCAAGGCTGAAGGTTGGCTCATGGGCGTCCTGTTCACCAACACTCTCTGACTGTCTCGAATGCTCCTCATTCCCCCTCACTTCGCATCAGCCTCAAAGAACACAAATACAGAAATCGATCTGACTAGGCCGATTTTCCTGGCCATGGAGGTCGGTTGGTACCTATGCTGGATATTGCTTGCTGGGGGTCGATCCGACTACGCGTACTTCAATACCTGCGGCTCTGAGTTAACTTAGCGGCAAAACGCTTGCCCAATGCAGAGCCAGCGTGCAGGGGGGGGGAGAAGCTGCATCAATCCTTCCGCCAGTGGCGCTGGTCGAACGCCTTACAGAGGACCCACCCAGGCGAACTCCCTGTCAGAACTGTATTTGAGACTCTCTTATCGCCAAGACGCATGCTGCTTCCACGGGGGCTCCTAGGGCCGAAACATGTTTGTCCCTGTTTCTTTCAACTGCTAAGAGTTTGGCTCTGAGATCTCTTTGAACACTTAGTCTTACACAGCGAGTTCTTTTTCTAGCTGTTTGTTCTTTTGCTTTAAGCCTAGCTTCACTACTGCTGCTCCCTGAGAATTATGTCTGAAGGTCAAACGCCTTACAGAGGACCCACCCAGGCGAACTCCCTGTCAAAACTGTATTTGAGACTCTCTTATCGCCAAGACGCATGCTGCTTCCACAGGGGCTCCTAGGGCGCTGGACTGGATACCCTAGGTATAGCCGCTAGGTATAGCATAGGTGACATTCTCGACACATTCTTGGCCCCGGCAGCAGTTTAGTTATCATAGGTTTACTACAATTTACTACAGTGCATTCATAACCATCATCAGTTTATATAGTGAAGCACCTTTCAAGAGAATGTGTGTCGCTTACAGAGACTTGAGCAGCGGCAGGTGGAAGAGGAACTGGGGGATGGAGGAAGCAAATGGGTTTTGAGAGGTCTCAAGAGAGGGAAGCGGAGAGGGAGTGTCGCTTACAGCGACTTGAGCAGCGGCAGGTGGAAGAGGAACTGGGGGATGGAGGAAGCAAATGGGTTTTGAGAGGTCTCAAGAGAGGGAAGCGGAGAGGGAGTGTCGCTTACAGCGACTTGAGCAGCGGCAGGTCGAAGAGGAACTGGGGGATGGAGGAAGCAAATGGGTTTTGAGAGGTCTCAAGAGAGGGAAGCGGAGAGGGAGTGTCGCTTACAGGGACTTGAGCAGCGGCAGGTCGAAGAGGAACTGGGGGATGGAGGAGAAAAAAAAGTTGTTGCTGAGGTCACTGGGATGAGGAGGACACAGAACAGGGGCGAGGGGTACACGGGCGCAAGGGGTAGAGCCACGGGCGCAAGGGGTAGACACAGAGCGTGAGAGGCAGAGATAGAAAGAGGCGTGAGAGGTTTTTCTTCACACTTGCGATTTTCTCACACTGATCACAAGGGCATGGCACTGAGTACAGCCTCACAGCAACAGGGAAGGATCTGGCCATGAGATGAGAACACAAAGCACAGCAAAGGAGCGTATCACAGACGACTTTTGATTGAGACGTCTCAAAAGTCGAATACAGCCTTACAGCAACAGGGAACGGTCTGACCGTAAGAACACAGAGCACAGCAAAGAAGTGTATCACAGCAAGAACAGGGCCTTACAGTGCCTCCAGGTTCCTGAGCCTGGAGAAATCATTGGAAGGGGTGGTGGAGAAACTAGTGTCTGACAGGCCACTGCCAGCGGACGGGGAGGAGAACGGGGAGAGGGAGGCAGGGAAAATGGGAACATGTGATGGTGTGCGATGAGGCCAACGGGTGCCGGGCATTGTGGAAGGGAGAGGGGAGGTAGCGAAGCTGGGGAAGCAACAGCAACAGCATGATTCCAGGACAGGGGGGTTGAAAGGAAACGCCTGCTGATGGTCAGGGCTGTGAGGCATGGCAGTGTGGAAGGGAAAGAGAGAGGCCAGGCGAGGAAGGAGAGGCCGGCCGAGATATTAGAGCAAAGAAGATAGGGCCAGGGTTAGGAGGAAGGCTGTGAGGCATGGCAGTGTGAGTGATTGCAGTAGAGCTTGTAAGGGAAGGGAGTTGAGAAAAGAAGATAGGGCAAGTGTAGCCAGGCTGGGAAAGCAACAGCTTGCGCGAGCAAGGTGAACAGACAGGGACGAAAGGTTTGAAGACGTTCTGCTGAATGAGGTGAGGCAAGATGCAGTGAATCACAAAACGGTGATTGTAGTGAGTGGATATTTAGGCTGCTCGTTTTTCTGTACCCTATTTGACATCAAGTTAAATTAATTTGGTTGTTCTCCCAACCTCACCCAGTTGAGATTCCATTCGTAATTCCAACCAATGTGCCAACTCACCATTAGTGACCTGATTGGCCGAGTGCATTGTTTATGAAGCTCAATATCTGACTGAAGTGAGTACTCACAGGTAGGTGAGGGTTATGAGGTTGGAGATTGGGTCAACGAAACCTCCGATACTATTGCCACTCAGGTTGCTGCTTAAACGACGAGACGAAGGGAGGCAAAGGCGGATAAGCAAGTGTGGTTGCATAAACAAGTAATAAGATGTGCCAGTCAGGAAATAAGTACGAAGTGTAGTCTATATTGAAAGCGATGGATGGATGTATCATGTAACTCGTGTAAGTAACACAATAAAACAGGTAAGAGCCAAGTGGGTACTAGTTAGTGCAATCAGGCACGGAGTAGAGTGATGGGCGTGGAGATATGAGATGACTGGCCACTTAGCAAAGAGAACAGGCGACGTGAAAGGGGGAGGGGGGGGTGGGAGGGGAAGGAGAAGGGGAGAGGGGGAGGAAGATAATGAATGAAAACAGAATAATGTGTGTGTGGGTATGTGACCTGAGATAGGGGATGACAATAGTATTTTGTTCACAAGTTAATCCAGTATTGCTTGATGCCTTAAATTCCATAAGCTGGGTGCGAGAGAGGGAGGAAGGTGGGAAGACGGAGGGAAGAAGGAGAGAGGTAAGAGGGGAGAGGGTAGACGTAGGGAGGAGAGAGGGAGGAGGGAGGGGGGTGGGAGGGAGGAGGGAGGGAAGAGACAGGGAGGAGGGAGGGAGAAGGGAGGGAGGTGGGAAGGAGGAGGAAGGAGGAGCCAGGGAGGAGGGAGTGGGGAGGGAGGGAGGAGGGAGGGAGGTGGGAGGAACGAGGGCGGGAGGAGGGAGGGAGGAGGGAGGGAGGAGGGAGGGAGGTGGGAGGAAAGAGGGAGGAAGGTGGGCGGAAAGAGGGAGAAATGAGAGAGGAAGGAGGGAAGGAGGAGGGAGGGAAGAGGCAGGGAGAAGGGAAGGAGGGTAGGAGGAGGGAAGGGAGGAGGGAAGGAAGAGGGAAGGAGGGAAGGACAACGGAGGGGGGAAGGATGGAGGAGGGAGGCAGGAGGCAGCAATCACAGGTGGCGTGGCGGAGGCAGCACTTACAGGTGGCGGAGGCAGCACTTACAGGTGGCGGAGGTTACCCAAGGGGCTAAGAGGATCTGGCAGTGGTCCCTTGGTTTGAGTGTTGCTAAGGTCCCTGCCATGCATGGCATGCCATGCCATGATATGACATACCATATCATGCGGTACCATTTCATACCATATCATACCGTACCATACCATTTCCATTCCAAACCACATTACCATACCATGCATATAATGCCATGCCATGCCATGCCATCCCAGGCATGTGGTGCAATGTGTGTTCCCATGAGGCGCATGATGAGGGTGGTATGGGGTGCAGTGCACACAGGGGAAGCATGCAGACACAACACACGAATGGTGGATGAGAGGATAGGTGAAGGGAGGTGGACTGATGAAGAATGCACGACTCAGGAGTAATGCACGAAGGAAGGGATAACAGTAGCAGTAGTAGCATGGACTGGAAACATCCAGCTGAGTAATGAAATGTCCGCACATGAGCACCCCCCTAGCGCACATGCCACCACACCATGCCATGCCATACCATGCAGCAGCAGCCACCTCTGGAAACAGCATTTGATTAAGGAACGGGTGAATGGGGCGCATACAGCAGGGAGACGCTAGTAAGGGAGTTGACTCAAAACACACCTCTGGAGACAGTGTTGGGTGGCAGACATGACAACGGGTCGGGTTGGGTCGGGTCAGGATTTGGCTGGTTCAGGTCGCTCCTCTCATGTGCTCGACCCAACCAGCCAGCTCCACCGACCCGAACCGACCCGAACCGACCCGAACCGACCCGACACGACCCGACCCGAGTCTTGACTCTCAGGTCGGGATTTGCCAGCGGTTCTACTCGACACGACCCCTTTAAAGTTGGGGCGGGAAGGGCAAATCCTCAGGAAGGGCAAATCCTCAGGCCGGCGGCCGGCCCGACCTGACCCGGCCAGAGCAAAACCGAGTTGGGTTGGTTGGGTTGGGTTAGGACAAGCCGTTGTTGCTCATGTTTATTTGGTGGGAGAGTTGAGTGAGTGACTTACAGCAGGGAGAGGCTATTGAGGGCAGTAATCTCTGGGGGGAGCACGCTGTTGAGTTCAACTCCTCCCATGCGACTGAGGCGAGAGTATGGTGGAAGGGAAATTGAGGAAGCGGGGCGGAGGGGGCAAAGTAAGAAAACGTGCACAGCGAAAACTTGAGGGAGATTGTGAGGGTTGCATGGTGTGGGAGGAAAGACAAGAGTGCAGTGCAGTGCCAGGTATTCTGTGATGCGGTGACAGACAGATCAAGAATCCGGTTTCATTGAATGACTAGAACAAGGTTGGATCAATTGTTGCTGTGCACGTTCTAGCCCAGCAGCAGCAGCAGCGGCGGCGGCGGCGGCAGCGGCGGCGGCGGCGGCGGCAGCAGCAGCAGCAGCAGCAGGAGCAGCAGCAGGAGCAGCAGCAGGAGCAGCAGCAGGAGCAGCAGCAGCAGGAGGAGGAGGAGGAGGAGCAGCAGCAGCAGCAGCAGCAGCAGCAGCAGCAGCAGCAGCAGCAGGAGGGGGAGGAAGAGCAGGAGGAGCTGCAGCATTGAGGATGGGAAGAGGATCAACACATAAGCACGGGGAGAGGCGCAAAGATTGCTGGATTTCTGGTGCAATTGTAGTGGAGCTGATGATGCTGCTACTGCTGGTGCTCTTGTTTCTGGTGCTGGTACTGGTGCTGGTGCTACTGCTGCTGCTGGTGCTCGTGTTAATGGTGCTGCTTCTGCAGGTGCTGCTAGTGCTACTGCTAATGCTTCTGGTGCTGATGCTGGTGCTGGTGTTGGTGCTGGCACTACTGCTTCTTGTAGTGCTTCTTTCTGATGGTGGTGTGCATAGTGGGCGATTATTCTTTACAAAGGGTTTCGGTAAACGCACAGCACTTGCAATCGGGAGAGATCACTTATTCCTGCTGAAAGGCCCCCGGAAAAAGAGGCCTTCGAGATGTCTCTGGGGGGACGAGACAGACAGGACGGTGTGATAGACAGACAGGCGGGAGAGGGAATCAGGAAAGAGGGAATGAGGGGAGAGGGAAGGAGGGAAGAACGGTGTGCAATGTTCTAAGACACGTTGATTGTTTCAACTTGAAACATTACAGAGAACAATGACGGACATGGGGTGAGGGAGAGGGATGGAAGGAGGAAAGTACAACCGGGAGAAAATGGGGATGGGCAGGGAGGGAGAGAGGGAAATAGGGGAATTGTCGGAGAGGAAAGGCAGGAGGGTTGGGGGGTGAGGTGAGGGGTGGGGGGCAATGAGAAAGGGTGGGGGGTGGAAGGGGAGGGGAAGAGTGTGGGGTGAATGCCCTGGAAAGGAGGGATATATGTTGGCTGGTTCCATGCATGTGATCAAGGGCGTACAGCACAGCAGAGCACAGCACAGCACAGCAGAGCACAGAAGAGCACTGCACCGCACTGGACGACACCAACTTCCAAACTTCCATGCACTAGCTCCATGGAACCAATCCCACCGACGCTCACCCCATCCGATCCCACTGCACACCCCTTCCTTCCCGCCCCCCAGCATGAGCCAGAAGCATCCATACAGCATGCAGTGCAGTGATAGGGCCCAGAACAAGCATATAAGTGGCAACGAAAGCAAGCGAGGAGGACGCACAGAGCAGTGACGGTGGTGAAGGTGGCTAGAAAATCGTTCACATTGCCTGACACACGCGTGTTGGCGATGGACCTATGGGGGAATGGCGATGGCAATGGGATCGGACATGCATATTACCAGGGCAGGGAGAGGCAGGCAGTGTTTAGAGATAGGTTTACGCAAGCAGGAAAGGAAGACTGTGAAGTTAACAGACAGGTGATTGTATCGTTGGCTGGTGGCCTGTGGGGCACGGACGATGGGCGCGAGAAAGGGTGAGGGAAAAGGATGTGGACTTTTCAGGCGCCTCAAAACGTGGCTGGTGGCCTGTGGGGCACGGACGATGGGCACATGAGTGAGGGAGAGGGAAAGGATGGGGGGGGGAGAGGAGGGAAAGGGTGGATGCGGCAGCAGAGATTGGTAAGGAGCAAAGGGACAAAGGGATGAAGTAAAGGAATGGGATGAAGGGATGGGGTGAGGAGAGGCCAAAGAGCATGAGCGTGGGTGAGGGGGGCGAGGAGGAAAATGAGCATAAAGTGGATGAGGGGGAGCAAGAGAAGAACGAGAGAGAAGAGGAGAGAGGAGGGAGTGAGAAGAGACATTAGAGAAAATTGGATAAAGTGTATATAACCTGATTTAGCATCAAATGCTTCTGTATTAGAGCTCGTGGCCTTTAAGTTCAGCAAGAATGACTTAGGGAGGATGAGGAGGGATGGGGGGCAATGCATAATGAGATTGGCAGAAATCTCTAATTGGTGGGTTGTGTCAGATTATCATCCTCTCTCTTTGTATCCTATATAAGTTGGGTTTGTCACATTTGATCTTCACACTTCGCAATCTCAATTTGGAATTTGAGTCTCAAAGCCAGATCGCAAAAACTCCTCCTTTCTACTGCTGCACAGCCCACTTCACCCGACTCACCTCTCCTAGCAAAGCGGTTTAGTTCTCCATTCATTATTCATCCTTCAGTTTTCTTCCCTCCTCTTGCTTGCTTGCCCCGATGCGTCCATTCCTTCAGCAGCACCCTGAACTAACCTGACTGCAGTAAGCACATGGTAGTTCCACTGAGGCTTCAAGCAGTACTTTGAATTGAAGTACTGATTGAAACCTATCCCCATCTTTAAAGGAGGGGATGGAGGTTGTTTGTTGGTGCTTTTCTGCACCTCGCCCATCCCCGCCTCCTAACACAATACGCTTCCTGCCCTGAAAAAGTTGGTACTCTGCCCAGGCCTGCGTATTCTGATTGCGTATTGGACCCCCTTCCATGCAGCGTATGGTGTATATGCGCTTGCGTATTAAACGCAATAGCGCGTCTTTTCCAGCTTAGACTAAGAGTAACACTGCACCCACGAAAACTACATCTACACTAAACCCAGATGTATGATTAGAACAGATTACAAATGTGAGTGGGATTGTCGACTAATTTCAACATAAAGTGGGAGGAGGAGACACAGGCAGTGAGCTGATCAGATCAGCTCATCCCAGGGCAAGACATCCCTGCAGCCGCTGCTCTGCTCTGCTGCTCTGCGGATCTGCCTCTATCGATTTTTTAGGCGCCTAAAAAAACCTCCCAGGGCAAGACATCCCTGCAGCCGCTACTCTGCTCTGCAGATCTGCCTCTATCGATTTTTTAGGCGCCTAAAAAAACCTCCCAGGGCAAGACATCCCTGCAGCCGCTACTCTGCTCTGCAGATCTGCCTCTATCGATTTTTTAGGCGCCTAAAAAAACCTCCCAGGGCAAGACATCCCTGCAGCCGCTGCTCTGCTCTGCAGATCTGCCTCTATCGATTTTTTAGGCGCCTAAAAAAACCTCCCAGGGCAAGACATCCCTGCAGCCGCTGCTCTGCTCTGCAGATCTGCCTCTATCGCTCTGCCTCCCTGTGGCACTGCCACTGCCCGCAGACACATAGAGCAACTCACAACTCCAGGAGGTTTGACAACAGAACCAGCATAGGGGAAACAGATCCCATAATGTCGTTGTCGTTAAAGTACCTGCATTGGGGGGAAGGCACAGCCTCACAGGGGCAAGAGATGGTCAGCAGGAGCACATGCAGGCAGGCAGGAAGAGTTTTAACCGCCACGCCAATGCAAGATGGATAATGGACAGACGGACGGACGGATGGATGGATGGATGGATGGATGGATGGATGGATGGATGGATGGATGGATGGATGGATGGATGGATGGATGGATGGATGGATGGATGGATGGATGGATGGATGGATGGATGGATGGATGGATGGATGGATGGATGGATGGATGGATGGATGGATGGATGGATGGATGGATGGATGGATGGATGGATGGATGGATGGATGGATGGATGGATGGATGGATGGATGGATGCATGGATGGATGGATGCATGGATGGATGGATGTTTCTGCTTAAACACCCAAAGGTTTCTGCTTTTTTTGGACTGGAGTCGTTTGCGGATCGTCCTGTCAAACCCTAAGTTACATTAAAAAAACGACTAACGACTAATTAACCTAAGTTACCATCAGGAACCGTTATGTTTGGCTGTTTTGGGCTGGAAATAAGCCTACTAATTCTTAATCCTCTGTACTTAACCTAAAAAGGTAGATCGAGGTCGAAATGACCTCGATCTATGCCTTCCGTAGGAAATACATCCAACCAGTGCGACATTTGTCGCGCTGGTTTTTTCCGAACATCTAATGTTCGGGAAAGCGGGGAAACTTTCCGAACATGTTTGGTGTTGGCAGTGCAGCAGCATGGTCGGCCTTACCCTGCTTGCAGCAGTGTACCTGGTTTTCCACTAGGGAAGCCAACGCAAGTCTCGTAAGGAGGGAAGAGAAGCGGCGGTGCGCTGATTATTCAGGCATGATATTACTAGGGGAAATGCAGTAGCCACAGAAGTGTGCGGGCTGTTGAGGAGAAAGAAGGTGGATTGTTGGAGGCAACAAGAGGTGCTGGGTTGATGGAGGCAACAAGAGGTGCTGGGTAGGTGCTGGGTTGATGGAGGCAACAAGAGGTGCTGGGTTGATGGAGGCAACAAGAGGTGCTGGGTTGATGGAGGCAACAAGAGGTGCTGGGTTGATGGAGGCAACAAGAGGTGCTGGGTTGATGGAGGCAACAAGTGGTGCTGGGTTGATGGAGGCAACAAGAGGTGCTGGGTTGATGGAGGCAACAAGAGGGAGGGAAGGATGGCCAAGTTCGTCAGGGTAATGCAAAATGGTGATGGGATCGTGGTAGGGGTGATGTGGGTGTACTAAGGGTGATGGGAGTGTAGTAAGGGTGATGGGAGTGTACTAAGGGTGATGGGAGTGTAGTAAGGGTGATGGGAGTGTACTAAGGGTGATGGGAGTGTAGTAAGGGTGATGGGAGTGTAGTAAGGGTGATGGGAGTGTACTAAGGGTGATGGGAGTGTAGTAAGGATGATGGGAGTGTACTAAGGGTGATGGGAGTGTAGTAAGGGTGATGGGAGTGTACTAAGGGTGATGGGAGTGTACTAAGGGTGATGGGAGTGTAGTAAGGGTGATGGGAGTGTAGTAAGGGTGATGGGGGTGCAGTAGCGAAGCTTACAAGTATTGCAATTTCCTCAGCGATGCTAGTTCCGTGGGAAAAAGAAATGAGAACTTGTTCCTGGAGAGGTCTCTGGTTGTGACAAACAGATGGGATTAACATGGGGCGCAGGGGAAGGAAGGGCAGGAAGGGCAGGAGGGAGCGAAAAAAAAAAAAAAAAATGCATTTGTATTATCACACACAGCAAGAAAGTCTTTCTGGAAGAAGCACACGTGAGGAGAGGAGCCAGGGTGTGAGGATCCAGAAGAGCACGAGCTGCTGTCTTTTGAGGCGCCCCAAAGGCAAGGGTGAGAAAGCAGAGCAAGGGTGGTTGGATGATAAGGCTTCCAGAGCAAGGGAGTTTATTTCATCCAAAAGTCTACTTTTGAGTTGACTCAAAAGCAGCGCACGGGACGGGCGGTACGGTTGGATGATGAAAACGCTTCCTGCCCAGAGCACGGCTGCTGGGTGATATGATGAAACCAGAGATCTCTCCAGAGGCTTCCTGCCCTGACGGGTTTATGATCTAGTCAACTCAAAATCAGAGCACGCGCTGCTGGATGGTGAAAAGGCTTTCTGTATTGACCAAGGGGGGCAGCAAGGGCGGGTGGGGTGGGGGGTTGCGTGATTAGGCGTATGGGGATGGCTGATGGGTTTGTGAAAAGAGAGCTGCTGGTGACTTTTGAGGCGCCTCAAGAGCCGTCTCTTAACCCGCAATAAGGGGTAGGGGATGGCAGATGGAGCGGTGGTCAGCGAGAGGGTGATGGCACATGGAGGCAGGCAGGGGTGAGGGGCGGAAGGGGAGGTGGAGAGAGGGATGACAAGGGGTAGGGAGACATAGGGAATGGCTGGTGACTAGCATGGGGCAGTAGACGTGGCACGGCATGGCATGGCGTGGCATGGAGTGGCATGGCTTTAAAGCACAGCAGGGCGCTACCGCGAGGAGGCAGGCTCACAGATAATAGAGGCTGGTAAGTGTTCTACCTGTTCTGCACAGTACAGGTATTTTGTTTGTTTGTGACGAGGCTGCCTGCTGCCTTTTGAGCCTATTTTTGAGTCGACTCAGAAGAAATAGGTCTGTTGCCATGAGGCTGCTGCCTTGTGTTGCAGGGTGTTTTTGAGAATTCTCAAAAACACCCTGCAGCATCAAGAAATAGGTCTGTTGTCATGAGGCTGCTGCCTTCTGCCCACCCACGGACCACTTTTGAGACGTTATGAGGCTGCTGTTGTCTCAGAGGTTTGAGCAGATAGTGGACGCGGGACTCACAAGCAGTAGCGCTTGGTGAGTGTGCTGAGTGCAGGTATGTTGTTTGTCATGAGGTTGCTGGCCACGACTTTTGAGATGCCTCAAAAGAGGACTCACAGGTAGTAGAGGTTGGTGAGTGTGCTGAGTGCAGGTATGTTGTTTGTCATGAGGTTGCTGCCCACGTTCCTGAGTGGCACGCAGGGAAGGCAGGGTGCGGCAGGGCACGCAGAGTGGGGGAGGCAGAGCAGGCATGGCAGGCAGGTCGGGGCAGGGCAGGGGACGGCAGGGGAGGAGCAGGGGAGGGGCAGGGGAGGGGCAGGGGAGGGGCATGGGAGAAGCAGGAGGGCAGGGAACGGCAGGGGAGGAGCAGGGGAGGGGCAGGGGAGGGGCAGGGGAGGGGCATGGGAGAAGCAGGAGGGCAGGGAACGGCAGGTAAAGGGCAGGAAATTGGTCCGTGCATGCATGCAATTCCATGCACGGCTCAGCAAGAGTGGCAGCGCTGTTTGATGTGCCACCATCAAGTGAATGGGATGCTCTGGGATGTGGAGTACTTAAAATGCATGACACCGCCATGCTGCAGTGATTGATCCACTCACGACGGGAGAGACAGGACGGGACAAGCGTTTTGAGGCGTCGCAACATCCTTTTGACTCATGTGAAGTGCCAAACGCAAAGCTGATTTTGAGGCGCCTCACAACTATGCATGCTGTAACGTCTGCTTGTGTTTTGTAGGGCGAGCCTGCAGCTGCTGCAAGGACATCTCATACTCACAGAAACCGCACCGCACCGCCCTGCATCCCTGTCATGGCATCCGCAAAGCTGATGTGTCAGCATTTTCCGGCGGCTCATTTGTTAGACTTACAGGTAAGCAAGATTTGTCAGGCGCCTCAAAAGGCGCCTCAAATGTCGCCTCAAAAGGCGCCTCAAAAGTCGCCTCAAAAGGCGCCTCAAGTGTTAGACTTACAGATATTCAAGATTTGTCAAGACGCTGATGTCAGCAGGCATGGTTCCCGTCAGCTGGTTGCTACTCAAGTCTCTGGTTGCAGAGGGGTTGCAGAGAGGTGCAGAGGGGTTGCAGAGGGGTTGCAAAGGGGTGCAGAGGAGTGCAGAGGGGATGCAACACGGGAGACACGATGGGTAGGGGTGCTTTAGCAGAGGCGGGTTAACAGGAAACTGATGGGAAGAGGTGGTAGGGGGTTGGAGGTGTGGGAGGGGGTGGGAGGGGGTCGGAGGGGGTTGGAGGTGTGGGAAGGGTTGAGAGAGGGTTGGAGGGGTGGGGAGGGGTAGGAGGGGTTTGGGAGGGGTGGGAAGGGGTGAGGAGTAGTGTGGTCAAGAGAGTGGCATGGAGCACTGAACAATCCAGTGTTGAAAGTGCTCCAGCCGTGAGGCCATGTGTTAGGGACGAATAAATGAGTCACCAGAGGTCGAACGAAGGTCAAACGGAGGTCAAACGAAGGTCAAACGGAGGTCAACCGAAGGTCAAACGGAGGTCAAACGGAGGTCAAACGGAGGTCAACGGGAGATCAAACGGAGGTCAAACGGATGTCAAACGGGGGTCAAAAGGAGGTCAAACG